CGTTAAATCTATTTTATTTATGTCGATTTATTGATTTTCCTTTTTTCCTTTTTTGGTTTAAACAAAAAAAAAAAGAAAAAAAAATAGCCAGAGGTAGTAGTAGACGTCATTTATATATATTTTATACACATGCATGGTACAGTTATCATATTATTATTATTATTGCGATTAAAGGCAAATTTATGAATTAAAATAATAATAATAATTAAAAAATGGAGGGAAAAATGAAAGGTTTTTAGAGGTCTCTCTCTTTCTCTCTTTCTTCCCATAAACATTTTGTTAATTGATTAACAATTAGTATTAGTGCCCTTTTAATAAAAAACCCATTTTATGATTTCGTTGATAAATTTAATCCGTTTAATTAATATACAAAAATTTTATTTATATAACTAGCGGTTACCTAAACAATTAATAATAATAATAAATAATAGTAATAATAATAATAAATAATAGTAATAATAATAATCACAATCACACACGCATACTCGTCGTTTACGTTTTGATTTTGACACAGGGGGAAGAAAAATAAAAAAATTTTCCTCGTTCATTTATCATCATTATTGGTACTGTTACTATCATCGTCATATCATTATTATTATTATTATTACTATTTTGTTTTGTATCGGTTTTGAGTCTTTATAAAAAAAAAAGAAAATTTCGTTCGATGGAGAAGAAAAAAAAATGGAAGGGAAAGGGAAAGGGGAAAAAAATTGTCAAAAATACAATCAAACAATAGAAATTTGTTTTAAAAAAAAAATAAATAATAATAATAATAATAAATTAGGTAACTATTAAGTGAGAAATTACGTCATTATTGATTTGATTTTTTTCGTTTTGTTGTTACGGGTAAAAATTATTAATCAATAAATAAATGAATTTGGTAAAAATAATAATACTACCATCTTTTATAAATAAATAAATAAATGTTTATCATCGTACCTGTTACGTAAGTTTTTTTTTTCTTTTTTGCATGCCAAACTAAGAAACTTTAAGCGTAACCCCCCCCCCCAAAAAAAAAAAAACTGTAATAATAATAATAATAATATGAAAACGTAAACGCATTCGTACAAATCACGTCAATTAAAAAAAAAAAAAAAATTAAATAAATAAATAAATAAAAAATTTCGTATGCTTTTGGTATAAAAAAACATTATCATTATCATAATAGCAATATAATTACAATTATTATTATTATTATCATTAATAATAACCTCTTAATTAATTAATTAATTAATTATAAAATTGATATGCGAAATGAGCAAAACATTAATATATATATTTATATATAAATACATAAAAACCTCGATTGTGTGGATTAAAAAAAAACAAAAAACCAAATACTAATAATAATAATAATAATAAGAAAAGGATTTATGACACAAATAAAAGCAATCGTTATTTTCATCATCATTATCATTATTATTATTAATTTTCGACGAATGAAAAAATAAATAAATAAATAAACGACACGATTAATTTTTGCATTCACTTTAAAATAAATATTTTTATTTGAAAATGTGTCGCGTTTCTGTTTATTCTGTCCCCCCCCCACGTAAATAAAAGCCACGCTAAAATTATTATTATTATTAGTATTAATAATATTATCAAATTTTGTCTTTTTTTCCTTTATTATTATTAATAGTATTATTTAAAAATACATAAAAAAAATAATTTTAAATTAAAATATATATATATATATATATATTTCATAATCATCATCATCATTTTGGAATAAAATTGAACAATGTGTCTTTTTATTATTATAATTATCATTATCATTATCATTATCCTTACTATTACTATTATTATTATTATTATTATTACTTTTTTTTCTTTTAAATAATTAATTTTTTTTTTTTTATACATTGGCACTTTTAGCAAAAGTTAAAAAAATATTAAACAAATATATATATATGCGCACAATCGTGATAATAATAATAATAATACATTAATATTTTGATAACGATAATGATAATGATGATAGTTAAAATTTGTAAAAAATTTTCCCGGGTTTCATTATTATTATTATTATTATTATTATTATTATTATTATTATTATTATTATTATTATTATTATTAAACTATGCGCGAACACGCACACACAAAACAAAAAAAAAAAAAAAAAAAACCTGCTCCGCATTCGTTGGTAATAAAATCATCATCATCATCATTATTATCATCATTATCATTATCATTATTACTATTATTATTATCACTACTCTTATTAAAAATTTTAAATATATATATATATATATATTTATATATATGTAAAATATGAGCAACGAAATTTTTATTAACAACGAACGAAACGGGATTAATTATACTTCGCGCGAACGAATGAATGATTGACTGACTGACTGATCGAATGAATGAATGATTGAATGAATGAATAAATAAATAAATAAAACACACGTGCGTAACGGGGGAGCGTTATTTATTTACTTATTTAAATAATGATTTTGCCGCCTTTGGAGAATTTTTTTTTTTTTTTTTTTAAATCCGATTCTTATGCCGTGTTATCATTATTATTATTAATTTTACATAACGACGGTTACGTACCTGGCGATAATTGAAAATGCTAAAAGAAAAAAAAAATAAAATAAAAAAAATAAAAAAAAATAAAAACAAAAAAAAAAAATAAATAAAAAAATAAAAACTACAAAAAAAATACAATTCAAATCGATTAAAACGTTTGAAAAAAAAGTAAATAAATAAATAAATGAAAAGTAATAATAATAATAATAATAATTTTTCGTTTAAAAAAAAAATCAACAATAAAATGATAAAAAATAAATAAATAAATAAATTCGTCTGGATTTTTATTTCATTTATGCATTCCTTGTAAAATTCAAAAATTTATGCTTAAAAGTGTTTCTTTTTTTTGTTGATTGATAATAAATAAATAAATAAATAATGATTATATATGCATTGCATTCCCCTCCCCTTCCCTCCCCCTCCGCCTCCCACAAAGGAAAAACATTTAACCGTTTTTATAGAGTCCGGTGACCATGCAGGGACGCATTGGAAACAACGTCGTCCACGTGGTCGTCGTGTGAGTCGGTACGCGAAATAAAATTTTTTCACCCAAATTTAAATTATTCTTATTGTGAATGACGTCGTATTTGAAAAAATCATTCGTAACGGTTTTTTTATTCGTTCCGTTTCCGGTCGTAGACGAATGATCGTCCGTTGCAACGGGACACGATTTATTATCGTGTCCGCCGTTTGACTCGGTTCCCAATTTTCTCAAACGCATTTTCTCCTCCCATTCACCCCAACCGTGTTTGGCTCTGTTTAAATTTCTATGCTGATAAAAAACTAAACTGATACGAGTGGGATGCAATCGATTGGGTTTTTTCAAGGCTGTCGTCGCGTGTATTTCGTGTTTTGCACATTCGAAAAGTACGCTACCGTGTCCCAAAGCAATGGCTACACCCCCCATTTGAGAATCTTTAAAACATTCTTCGTTTTCTATGTAATCGGTAACTTCTCCGATTGTTTCAGTGTTTGTAGGGTGACCTTCCGAAACGGTGTCAAAACAATCCTCGGCGTCGTACGTCGAATCCCAATTTTTGGATTCGTTCGAACTATTTAAACTCTGATTGTTTATTTTAACAATGGGTTCTTCGTTGGTATCGTCATTATTAGTCATCGTCATCGGCCAATGATCGTAAGTCACTGGATGGGGAGGTGGTACATCGTTAAAGTCATGATAGTGTTGTACTCCGTTATTATTATTATTACTATTATTATTACAAATTTGAGGAGGAGGAGGAAGGAAATTATTTTGATAACCGCCGGAAGCAACAAGGGTGGCTTTTTTATTACTTATCAAGTACGAGCCTTGCATTGCAACGTTACAATTGTTATCCGGCCAATGTTTTGCTCTTTCGCTTTCATAATTTTTCACGAATCCCGGATTTTCATTGTTTATATGGGACACGTTGAAGGAAGAGTAACCGTGGTGGTTTTTGACCAAAGATTTTGAAAAAGATAGATTCTCATTCGAACACGTATTAAAATTAGATGTCATACCTCTAGGCGTCGCGTGAAACGATGAATTATGATGCTGAGTCGGAAAACGTGGAGAAGAACACGTCGACCATTCATACGGATACAATATGTTCTCCGCGCCACCACCTTCTACCACATGACCACCGTTTAGGATCGGCGTCCGTTGTTGAAAATTCCCGACCGGGATTTCATTTGACAAAGAGGAATGATTATGATTCTCGTAAATTCTTTTAATCGGAATCCAATCGGAAGAAGACTCATGAAAAGATGGCACCGAATTGTACCTCAAATAAGGAGCGAAACCGGGTTTCACGTGTCCGACGGCGAGTTTTCCATTCTGAACGGAGGGACAAGTCTAAAATAAATAAATTTTTATTTTATTTAAAAAGAAACCATTATTAATTTTTAAAGAAAAGTTAATTTAAAATTACTTACGTGATTAGGACATTGAGGAATGACGTTGTTTTCGTAGTAATAACCAGGGAACCTACTCCAATGGGTAGTACTCGTGAGATGATTTGAAAAATTTTCACTGTTTTGTGCTTTGATTAACGTTTGAGGTCGTTGATTATTCGTATTAACTTCACAATCGGATGCATTTTGATAACTTCTTCCCTTGCAAAATTTTGGAGAAGTAGTCACGGTCGAGGAAGAAATTTGTGAGGCTTGAATTTCATATTCCCAATGGTTCCCTGTGGGCACCGAGTCCGACGATTGCCTTTCTAATACAATCTCACTTATTTTACTTTTCGGCGTATAATTTTTAATCGTTGGCACGGCTTGAATTTTCACATCCGGATCTTCACCTTTTCGTTTTTTACCGTGTCTCCTGCATGGTTGCAGTGGAACAGCTCGAACTCTTACCTCGCAAGGAAATCTAACAAAAAAAAAAGAAAGAAATTCAATAATCGATCCGACGAACTCGATACGAAAAAGAAAAAATTGTAAAAAAAAACCTACTTGTTTAAACATTCGATCGAACCGTTTTTATATTTTTCTTCTTGAGAGGCTTTGCAACCGAATTCGTCTGTGTCGTCCAAAATATAATGGGGCAAAACGTGCAATTGTTCGTCTTCCGGTTTTGATAGGGTTCTATGTTTCGTCAATGTGACTACCTATAAAAAAAAGTAAAGAAAAAATTAAAAAAAAAACATTTTAAATTTTTAGAGAAGAAAAAAACAAACAAAACAAACCACTGTGCATCCGTTGTTCATATTGTGCAAATCTCTATGAGCGTGAGCGCAAAAATCAATGCAAGCAGTGACTCCAGAAAATGGACGTCCCGGTTTAAAACCCAAACGACATTCAGCAGCTTCTCTTTCGAATGAAGTTTGATTGCTGTAAGCTTCCGGTGCCAAAGTGTTGTATAGGGGACTGAGTAGAGTAGCCAATACGTGCATTCTTTCTTCCACATCTTGTTCCTTTTGAAAGATGAATAAGGTCAAAACGACATTTGACAAGACAAACTTGTACAATCATCTAAACTAAAAAATTGGATGTTTCGTACCTCAGAACGAACGGAAAGACGAAACTTTCTGACAGTTTTACTTCTGGCATATTTACAACCGTTGTAATACATGGACCAAGAACAGCCAAAGCTAAAACTTGCTCCGCACGTGTTAGGATCTAAACCCTGACAGGCACACGTTCTGGTTTCGTTAGTGGCACATCTTCTGATTGTAGGTAATCCAAATTTATTTAGTTTGTGCGTCAATAAAGCATAAATCTGAAAAGAGATAAAGTTTTAAATTTTAAATTTTTTAAAATAAAAATGGGCGCCGTTTTTTTTTTTAAAAAAAAAACCTACTCTGTCAGCTTCGGGTGTGGGTACTCCATCCCATGCGACCAAACACACAACTATCCAAGCTGTCGAGCACGTGTGACCGGGCCTATGTTTAACAATAATTAAAACTTTTTCATCAAGTCCGCTTCTTCTAATAACCTTTTGAGAAATAAACAACAATTTATTACTTTTAAACTAAAAAACAATTAAGTGAAATTTTCAAATAAAACTACCCCCCAACTCACCCATTTGGCCAACGGACACCCTCGAGTTGTTTTCCCTTCTTTTCCGGTATAACAAATTTTTTCGAAACGCAAAGCTTTCCCCGTTTGTCCCGTTCTACTTTCTAAATCTTTTCTCAAATCCGATAGGGAAGCAGCAGCTCCTAAATGAGTGTAATAAGAACCAGGTTCAGGTGGACCTGAAAGTTTGAAAAAAATTAATTTTTTTTTGAAAAAGGGAAAATGAAGTTGAAAAATAAAGTAAAAGTGATTATTATTATTATTATTATTATTATTAGAAAGTGAGAGTTGGGGAAAATTTATCCATAAAAAACAATGAAAATTACTTTTGTCCGGTGGGAAACATTTACAATGAGGAACGTTTGTTTTTATATTGTTTTTTAATCTTTCCATATTTTCTTCTTGAAAATTTTCCTGCGGCGACAATTTTAAATTTGTATTTTCGTAAAATTTCTTAACTCTGAGTTTTTCATTTAAATTTTCAACATCTAATTTTTTCACATCAGACGAAAATTCGTCTGCTGTTTTGTGTCCCTAAAAAGAAAAGAAAACCCACAAAAAAATAATTATTTTATTCAATTCTAATTTAAATTAATTAATTTTTATTTTGTTTACTTACCTTACAGTTTCCTATTTTAGCATGATCGTCTGTCGGAGGTTCGATACCCCCCATACGACAGCACCAAGGTCCTTTTGTCGAATTTAATGAAATCGGTCCACCTTCACCCTGATACAAATAATCCTCCGCGATTAATTTATTATTTTCTTCTCCCCTTTTCTCATCATCATCGTAATAATTATTATTATTTATAAATTCTTTTTTAAATTCCATTTTATCGTTTGTGAAAAAATTATTTTCAGACATTTTAATATTTTTAAAATCGATCGGAGAACCTGAAGATTTTATTCTGTCGCAGCAACTATCATTCATTATGACCGGACAAAATGTTTTTTTTTTAAATTCTCCACTTCCGTAATCGAAATTTTTCATTTGATTGTTTAATGTCGTCACATCCGGCTTCACATCTTTTTCCAATTTTATCTTAGGCAAATTCGTTTCCAGGTATTCATCGTCGGAGAGAGAAAGTTCCGTCGAAATGCAAGATTCGTTATAATCCCAAAATTCTTGAGGTTCGTGATAATTCGATCGCGATTCGTACCTATAACGATTTTGATGATTGTGATTTATATCCGGAATTCGCATTTCATCATCATCATTATTATTATTATTCGTCATTTTTTCATATCTGCAAGAATGCTTTTCGCTAGAGTCTTCCATTTTGATCAATTTATTTTTATTACTTTTATTATTATTATTTTCAATTAACGATGATGATAAATAATTTCCGTCGGAATCGTACGTCGTTTGATTATTATTATTATTATTAATATTGTTCTTGTAATTTTCGTAAAAATTTGGTAAAGTCCTTGAAATTATTTCCGTGTTTTGCTGTCGTTTGATGATACCGTTTGACGAATTATTAAATTGCGACTCAGGTACTGGATCGTTGTACCAGCAAAAGTTTTTCGAAACGGAATTTTCCGGAGATAAGTATTGAGCCCGGTTATAAATGTTTAATTTAAAATTCGCGAAGGATTTCGTGGCGAAATCGCAATGATTGGATCCGTTAAAGGGTAAAGGTTTTCCCGTTAAAACCGCAGGATTCTTTCCTTTACCTCCTTTTTTATCAATGATTATTCTACCAGTCTCATTATTATTATTATTTGCTTTTATTGATGAATTGTAGTTGAACTTAGGTGCAAATCCCTGAGTCCAACATCGAACGCCACCACCTTCAGGTTGTAGTACACTCCCTTCCCGAAGATGGTGGCTAAAAGCTAAAAAATGATTCGAATTCTTATTTGACTGAGCATCTTTCTTATCACCGTAGTCATTATTATCATTACCACAGCGCATTGATTCTTTGGAATTATTTGAACTCATTTGGTTTTCGGAGGTCATCATTTGATGATGATCGGTTTGAAGTTGTTGATTCGAATTGTTTGAAGAAGAAGAAGACAGCATTTGCGAGTTTTGATGCATCGGAGTCATCAATTGCGCATTTTGCTGATGATTTTGTGTAATCATATTATAATTTTCATTGTTTGAAATGTTTTGCTGCTGACTTTGCGATAGTTGATGCTTGTTCATTATCATGGATTTGATTCGTGCATTCACATTGTTTTTATCCTGATTTGTTTTACTAGCATTATTATTCTGATTGAAATTCTGCGAATTCGACGGACTTCGAGCCGGATAATTTTGCTGATCAAATCTTTCATTCTGATACAAATTCCCGTTGGTGTTGCTGCTAGACGTCCGATTTTCGTAACAAATGACATTCCTACTTTGACCGGGACTGACCTCCTGATAATTTTGCGGACTAGGATTCGAATTAAAATTTTTTGGACTATTCTGAGAATATATTCCTGAGGGTTTCTGACTAGGATGACAATTTCCTGGACTTATGTTTGAATTAATGGCATTTCCATGATGTTCGTCTAAGTTAACGTTATTTTGATAATTTTGATGATAATTTCGATATGCTCCAGGACTGATTTGAGAGTACGATGGACTTTTTCTATTCATTTGACTACCGTTATTACTAGGTTGATATGAGTTTCCGTTATCCGTTTGGTCCCCAAATTCCGACTGGAGTGATTGCCCTGGGTACCTAAATAAATTTTTCCCTCCGTTAAAATGATTTCATTATTAAAATTTTAGTCAATTTTTACATTAGGATACCAACCCACTAGAGTTGCATGAACTCTGACACTGGGGACTGTTTAGTGGATACCCAGGAATCTCGTTTCCCGACATGTAGTTGGAAGTTTTACTGTTCGTATCACTCGGCTCTAAATGTACTGAACTGCTTCTCGAATTGGGCGTGGTCGAAGCAGGTGGCACCATGGCAGAGTCCTAAACAAAAAAAGAAAATTTAATTTTAAAATTAACTTTTAATTTGTTCACGTTTTTTTTTTTTTTAAATATAAAAACTCCAACGGAAAACATTTATGCAAATAAAAACAACAACAACAAAAAAGAAAAAGTCATTAGAAAAAAAAAAGGGAAAACGAACCGTTGTGAATGTAGTTCCATTTACATAATTTTCCTCAACGTAATGTACATTAATCCCATTTCTATGTCCATTAACGTGAGGCGTTGAAGGATTTGGCGAAGGTGTCGGAGTGTGTACCTGAGAGTAGCTCCCTGTAGACCTTGGCGTAACGCTACCCTGCGCAGGACTCGTGGCGGGATTTCCATTACTCGCATTGTTAGCATATTGTGGTTGAAAAGCCGACGTTTGATCGGTTATAAAACCAGTTTGCTGATATCCAGCTGAAATAAAAAAAAAAAAAAAAATAATAATTACAAAAGCGAAAGACGTTACAAAAAAAAAACACCCTCCGACTCTGTCAAGTTAATAATAATAATAATAAATTATATAATACCTGTTGTTGTTTGGTATCCGGGATAATGCTGATATCTTATGTCATCGATTTGATGAATGAATTGTCCCTGATTCGCCCAAGGATCAGCCGGCGTCGAAGCTGACCATACTTCGGTTCCAGCATAAAATGGGACAGCCTGAAATAACACAATTATTAATTGTTAAAAAGAAGATGAAGAAGAAAAAGGAAACAAAACCACGAAAAACGTTAGACACGAGAATGTTGTGCAAGATGGCGGCGGTAATAATATTTAACAACATTATTTATTTATTTATTATTAAACAAAAAAAAAAAAACTAAATTACTCAACGTAATTTTTTTTAAATCCGTCGGTTATAAATTATCTTTTTAGAACATTCTAAAAAGTTCTCTCCATTTGAGAAATAAATAATAATAATAATAATAATAAGATTTATTTTATTAATAATAATTAATAATGTTGTGGGTTTTTTTGTGAAAATCTCAATAAATTACGTACGTTTTTTTTTTCTTTCTGTACTGCTTCCATTTTTTTTCCTCCTCCCTTCACACATTCATCTTATTTATTTATCATCATTTTGTCACGTGGTAATAATAGTAATAATAATAATAATAATAATAATAATAATAATAATAATAATAATAATAATAATGGAAACGTGAAATAAATTTTAATTTAAAATGATTATTTTACTCAATTCGAATCGATAAATTTTATTACAATGCGTTAGCAAAAAAAAAAAGAAAAAAAACAATTAAAAAAATAATAATAATAAAATTTCGATGTAATAATTTATTATTATTATTATTATTATTATTATTATTATTAACGTAATAAATTAATGCAACGTCACGATTGTGAACGAAAAAAAAAAAAAATTATTTTTTTTCCCTTTTTTTTTTAATTAATTTTTTTTTTTTATTAAAAAAATAAAAAAAAAAATAAATCTGAGAGAGAAAATTTTTTTTTTTTGCTTGCTTCATTTTCCGATTTTTTTCTCCAGTTTTCCGTCCCAAAATTTTTTCGTTTACGTTTTAATTTTTCCTATACTAAACCTTAACTTCAATTTAAAAAGTTATTAAAAACGAGAAAAGAAAATAATGATGATAATAATAGTAATAATACAAATAAAATTTAAAAACCCGAAATGAAATAAAAAATTATAACATTATTATTTATTTTTATTTTCCTTTTTTTTTTTCCGTCGGGGAGGGAAAGAGGGATGGGGTAGGGGTAGGGAATGAAAATTGGGACTGGAAAAGAGAAGAAAATTAGAGCGGAAGAAAAGGAAATAATAAAAAAACAAAAAGAAAAAGATAAAAATGATAAACATGTATATGTACACCGTTTTATAATTTTATAGCAAAAAAAAAAAAAAAAAGAAAAAGAAATTTTACGTGGAAGAAAAATAAGAAGAGAATGTTAATGCGCGTGCGGTCGTGATATTAATAATAATAATAATAATAAGTATTATTATTAACAACAATAACGACGGCCAATTTATACAACAGAGTTTTTTTTTTATACCGAAATAATTTTTTTATTTTCCTGTTGTTGTTTTTATTACGTATTTGTTTTGTTTTTTTTAATAAAACATATTTGATTTCGGAAATCTTATAAAGTTTAATAATAATAATAATAATAATAATAATAAAAACAAAAAGGAAAATAAAAACAAACAAAAAAATTGAAAGGATTTTTATTTTTATTTTTTGTTTTTTTTTTTTTGGGAGAGGGAGGGGGTTTCGCGGTCGCTCACGCACGTCTCTTTAAAGGTATATTATTATTATTATTATTACTATTATTACTTTTTGTGTGTGTGTGCAAGTATGAAAATTTTCAACTTACCATTGCTGGAGCTAAAGTTGGATTTCCAGGTATCGGTGCACCAGTTGTAACGCGAGCCGTTTCGACTTTAACGTTTTCCCTATTATTTGAACCAACCTTAAATTTAAAACAAAAAATTTTTTTTTGTAATAATTTTTAAATCCTTTTGGGGGGTAACAAAAGTGACGTCGTCAACTATTTCAGAAAAAAAAAATTATTTCAATAAAACTAAAGTTGATATACGAATTTAAACAAAAATTAATTTTGTTATTAAACACAACTTTGTAGTTTAAAAAAAAAAAAAAAAAAAAAATCAGTAACTAAACAAACAAAACTACTAAAACCTCGTAATTAAAATAATCAAATATCAAAGGAAAAGAGAGAGAAACTCACAATTAAGCCTGGAGCCGAATTCATTTCGTTAACAACTGAACTAACTTGAGCCGTTTGCGTACCTGGTCTTGCGCCCTTACCACGATAACCCTGAAAAAAAAAAAACAAAAAAAAATCAAATCAAATCATTTTCTCATAATCGTTTCTTTTTTTTTATATCATCAGCATTATTATTTGCCATATGGTTCGCCATTGTCAAAATTCCATTGAAAAACAACAACAAAAACAACGAGAGAGATAACAATAAAGTAAAAAAATTATTATTAATAATAATAATAAAAACCCCAAATCAATGAAAGAAGAAGACAGGTAAAAAAAAATTTAATTAAATCATCGAGGGAGAAGAAGAAAAAGAAGAAATAATAATAATAAAACACCTGAAAAAAATAATAAAAATATAATTTTCTTCTGCTTCTTATTTGCCAACACGATGGTGTGTGTGCAAGTAAAAAAAAAAAAAAGGAAAAAAAAAGGAAAAAAAAGGTAATAACGTAGAATTGCAAGAATTTTCCGCTTATACGAATCCATTCATGATTCAATATTATCTGACACAAAATATTTATGACGTTTTATTCAAATATAAATAATAAAAGGAATTATTTTTCAATTTTTTTTTTCTTCTGCTTCTCCTTCTTCATCATCATCATCATCATCATCATCATCTTTTTTTTTCTTTTTTTTTTTTTAACCTTTTATTGTTCTTTCTCGGGTAACACGAGAACGTTTTATTTTATTTTATTATCATCATCAATATAATAATAATAACCATTATTATTATTATTATTATTAAGAAATTATTTATATAACCGTTCGAAGCATGTATTGTTTGTTTGTTTGTTTGTTCAAAGAATTTTTTTAATAAATATCTAAAAAATTTAATTACAAAAAAAATAATAAAAAATAAATGAAATTGAAAAGGTTAGAATTATGAAAGAGAGAGAGAGAAAACTTGGTTTAAAATTTATTTTAAAAATAATAATAATAATAATAATATGAGTAAATACTCTTAACTGTTTGCTTTTTTTTTCTTTTTCTTTTTTCTCCAGATTAAAAAAAAAAAAATAATAAACCGTTACGTGAAAAGGTATTAAAATAATTATTTAAAAATAAATAAATGAAACTTTTTAATTAAACATTATAAATAATTAAATAATTTTAGTTTTAATAATAATAATAATAAACGTTTTTTTCTAAGGTTAAAAAAAAAAAATTCATTCATCGATCGTATTGCCTATCCATTTTTCCACTTTTCCTTTGAGACATGTAAATTAATTATTTTTAACGAATTTCAATAGTAAAATACACATTTGACGCCATTCAAAGGTAAATCAAAGGAAAATCTTTATAATAAAAAAACAAAAACAAAAACTAACGAGTTTTTAAAACCGATCGCATACGAAAAGAGAAAGAGATTAAAAAAAAAAATTTTTCTCTTCATTTTTATTTGGTTTTTTCCGGAAAACTTTTTATTGTGTGTGTGTGTGTTGACCGGTATCCACAATAAAATCAAATTAATTTTAAAAAGATGAATTTTTTCAAATCAAATAAAATTACATCTCGATCATTTTCAATTAAATTCGAACACTAACGAAACTTTAGATGAACTCAACGATAATAATTTTTTCATCGATTCACCCGATCATTTTTCGTGTCCGTTATTTCGCCGCACACTCTCCACTCTCTTCCTATTCCTACCGATAAAAGTTTATATTTCGTTTCCCTATTTCCCTCTATCTCTCTCTCTCTTTCTATCTATCTTTCTCTTTTCTTTTTATTAATCCGGTACCACATTACGAGTGACGACGACGACGTTGTTATACGACCTTGACACGAGCGCAAGCGCATAAACGTACAAACACATGAGCCTGATTAAAGAAGAGCGAGAGAGCGAGAGAGAGAGAGAGAGAGAGAGAGAGAGATGGAAAGAAAACTCTGCGTTAAAATGCTGCATAACAAGGTAGGTAATCGTTACGAGAAATAAACCGTAAAAATGGCGGTACTATATATAATCTTCATTTTATTTTTTTTTCACTACAGCCGAATAGAAAGAAAAAAAAGAAAATTAATATCCGTCGTCGTTTTCCCCGACGTAATAACGATAATAATAATAATGATGATGATGATGATGATGATAATTTTACAAAATTAATAAATAAATAAACGCGGGAGAACACCCCAGATGAGCATTTAAATTTTAAAATAATTATTATTTATTAATAATAACCTTACTAATATAAAGGTTTACGTAAATACGCATGATACGCCCCCCCCCCCAAACACAGGTTTCACGAGACTAATAATAATCCACAATTAATTATTTTATAATTTAATATCTAAAAAAAAAAAAACCGGAAATTTATTACGGTAATAATTCAATTAATTTAATTTAATTTCTCCCCTCCCCTCCCTTCCCCACCCTTTGATGATAAACTTTACGTCTATATATAAATCAACCGGGTATAAAAATTATCCTATAAAAAAAAAAAAAATATTATACATAAATTATTAATTAATTAAAACTTTTTTGTTTAAATAAATAAATAATAATAATAATAATAATAATAAACTCACTGCGAATAATAATAATAATAATAACAACAACAACAATCGTCCAAATGGAAAAACGAAAAAAAATTATTTTCAAATTTATTTAATGAACCGTAATTTTTTTATTTGAACGAGTTTTATTATTAATAATAAAAACACACAACACTTTTCCTTTTGGAATAATAATAATAATAATAATAATAATAATAATAATAATAATAATAATAATAATAATAATAATGATAAAAACCACACCGGATTGCCGGAAAATGAAAATTATTTTCACGTTTTTATTATTAATTTTAACAACGATTTATAACGACAAGATAAATAATAATAAACACACACATGTGTGTGTGTGTGTGTGTGTGTGTGTGTGTGTGTGTGTGTGTATGAGTGCGTAAGGTTAAATTTTACCTTAAGTTTTACATTGACCGGTTTCCGTAGGGGGGAGATGGGCAAACACACGCACAAATTTATAATAAATAATTTTTTATCGGTAAAAAAACATTTCGAACTCGCGTTTTACACAAAAAAAAAAATTAAAAAGGAAAAACGAGAAAAGAAAACCCGCTGCCGGTCGACAACACACACAAATAGAAAACAAAAATGTAACAAAAATGTTTAATTTTTTTTTTTTTTTTGTTATATGAATAATCTGTGTCGAAAGAAATACTTCGTATGTAATCGTTAGAAAAATTAAAAGTTGACTCCGGTTGAAAACGTTTAACAAACGGAAAGCTTCATTTTTTTTCCGTTGT